TTTCAAATATTAATTTCACTCAACTAACAAATCAAAAATTGCATTTTGAAAATAGGAGGAGTTTATTTTTATTGGCCAGACATATTTTTTTCCTAATGGGTTAAGACTAAATGTAACTTTTTAAAAATTGAATATTCACTCCCTTTTTGTAATGTTGAACCAACGAATAAAAAATTGCTTTTTTAAAGCAGGAGGAGATAGAATCTCATTTTAATTGGTCTAAAAAGTAAATTTTCTATTTATTTTAGAAAAATGGGAAAAAATTGCATATTTTATCTTTCTTAGTATAATTATTTATTTTCTGCTTTTTTATTTTTTATATTTTATTAAATATACTAATAATTGTCATTGAAATCGATTAAATTAAAAAAAGGTTAATTTCAATATGCAATTTTTAGAATTGCTTTAAATAAAATTCATCTTGGAAAGTTGGTTTTCCTATTTCTTGTTTTGAATGTGGATAAAACAGAGGAGAATGTCAGTCCCGCCATCTGTCGTGAGAAATGCGCAGCGATATATCAAGTAGTATATTATCATTGCTTCACACACACACGCATACATCTCACGGTAGAACTGACATCTCCAACTTTAAACATTAATTATTCAATAAGTAAACATTAATTTGCCCTAAATATGTAATAAATAAATGCTTTAATGATTACTTTTGTTAAATCAAATAAGTTTTCCTAATTTTTTCTTTTCATTATTCACTAAATATGCTATTTAAAACCCACTATATTCACTGGAAACTACTTTGTCACTTTTACATATCAATAATTTATTTATAATTGTTTAATTTACATAATATAATTTAAAAATTTAATCTACAAATGTTACTTTATTATTCCCAATAATTTATTTTATAATATTTCATTGAATAATAGCAATTTTCTAAGTCTACCCAAAACCTACCTTAAATCTACCATAACTTGGGTAGATTTACGGTAGCCCAACCCGCCAGGGTTCTGGGGTGGATTTGGTTAAGTTGTAAAATGATTAATTTCTATTTGAATTCTTTTTTTTTTAATGTAGAAAATCTGATGTTAATTTATTTCTTTTTTCGTTATGCACGGCAAAAAATATTTAGCTGGATGAACTACAGATTTCACTTTAGTAGCGAAATTTTTCAGTGCTTCAATTAATACTTTCGTTATTCTAGAGAAACTTATCGCTATTTCAAGTAAAACTTTTTTCAGTGTGTAATAATTATTATTTCTTTAAAAAGTATTTAATTTAAAATGGCTTTATAAAATAAGCAATGCAAAAGATGACCCAGATACTAATTGTAATTGTTCTAGCCATAGTTTAAGTCTAGTAATGTAAATTCTATTTAAATTGAGACCATTGAGTGAAATTATTTGAATTTTAGTTATTTAATTTCTTTGTTAGGTTATAATAATTATTTCTTTGAAATTTTTTAAATTGTTTAAAATAAGCAGCCCCATACAACATTCCCGCGCGCTTGCGCGCGGATAGTTTGGCTAGTTTGAACAATATTTTTTTAAATTTTGATTTAAAAATTTTTAAAATTGAGCGAGATAATGAGATTTTTCTCAGCCGCGTCAAAAAAAAATGATTTGCGGTGTACACTCTAACTCGCAACAGAATCATCCAAAACAAAAAAATCAAAATGCATTTGTTAAAGGAGATGTTTTTTGAGGTATTATCGGAAGGGATTTTTTTGTTTTTTTACTTTTCGATTTTCCGTAGCACTTGAAAGCCAAAAAGTCGATTTTCACTGTAAAAAATCGATTAATTTGTTATTGTAAAATTGGTAATTTTTTAATAAAAAAATAATGGCTTCCGATGTTACCTCAAAAAACATCTCCTTTAACAAATGCACTTTGATTTTTTTGTTTTGGATGATTCTGTTGCGAGTTAGAGTGAACACCGCAAATTTTTGGAGGCGCCTGAGGAAAATGTTAGAATCTTGCTCAGTTCTTAATATTTTTAAATTAAAATTTAGAAAAATATTGTTCAAATGTTGCAGTATTATATGCAAAGCGATAAAATAAATTAACTTTCTGCGTATCGCCAAAAAAAATTCTTAAAAACATGCGTTTTTTTCACCGATTTAACTATACCCCCCCCCCCCCCTTAACATAACAAGGCAAATTTTAATTTGAATATTTAGAGAATACTATATGAAATAATAAATTTATTTATTCCAATATTCACAACTTATCCAATGAAGAGATTAAACCTTATAAACAGAATTAATATTATATATATTCATTTTTACTATCGTGAATATAATGATAATGTATTTTTATAGTTTATTATTTAAAAATTAAAAAATTATATTTTACATTTTCATTAATTATATGTGACGCGATTTGAAGAAAGGGAACTTAGAAGCAAAAAATTGTAGGCTATGTTTGAAATTTTTTAAATGAAAATACAAAAAAGTAACAACCGTCAATATAAATAATTGACATTTTAAGTCTTTATTACAACTAAAATATTTAAAAACAAATTATTTAAATAGCAAACATGTTCTGTAACTGTTACGTAACATTTCTGTAGTAATAAGAGCTAAATTACGTAACTGTTATGTAATTGTTATGTAACATAAAAGTAACAATGTTCTGTAACTGTCGTTACAAAATTGTTACGTAAAATTGTAGTCTCTCTGTTACGCAATAAAATTATGTAATTGTTACATAACTGTTATGTAACATGAAACACTATTTTATAATTATTGTTTCGAATAAATATTTTTTATTATAAATCTAGTTTAACTGTTTAAGTTTATTAATTTACAATAAATTATTATTAATAATTATTATCAGTATTATTTATTATAATTATTAATGTCCAAAACTTTTAAAGAAGTACGTAAAAGTAAAGTGGGGTGAAGAAGCCGACTTTTGGAACATTTTACGATATTTAATATATCACTCACTTTTAATTTTATTTAAAATTTTTTAACGTACTCTGAAAAGTTTGTCTATTAAAAATTTAAAAAATATCTTAATTTTTTTTGTAAAAAGTTGTCAGAAATTAATAAAGAAAAATTTTTATTTGAACAAATTTATTTAAAATTAATTTAAAGTTTATAACTCTCAAATTTTATGTGAAGAAAAATAGAATTTTCAGAATAAAATAAAAATTTGTAATCCCGATTAGTATAATTGTAATCGTTTCTTTTTGTTACTCACATGTGTGTGACATTGTTATGTAAATGCTACAAAATTGTTACTTATATGTGTGTAACATTGTTACGTAAATGTTACAGAATTGTTACTGAACACTGTGACTAATGTGTGGTAGATATTTTTATTAACACGTTAATCGTATATTACAAATAAAAAAATCACAAGTTTGTCTTTGTTACGTAATAGTTACATAACAGTAAGTAACAGAATATACGGCACTGCAGTTGATATAGTAGATTAGGAGAATTCTCATCCAGCCTTCAGTGGCCGTGCGGTTTAAATGCGTTGCGTCGGGTCGTCAAGGGCGGGGGGACGTGAGTTCGATCCCACATGCGAGCGGATATTTTTCATTCTAAGCGTTATGTAAAATAATAAAATTACTATTTAATCTGTATATAAGTGTTGTGAAATGTGAATAAAATAAACTTGTGAACATGTTTATAAATAATATTAAAGATCTGTAAAAAAATCAAGTTTAAAAAATGTACTAATTAATAAATCAGTTTTTTACTAAAATTATTTTTGGATATTACCATGTCAAATGGCATTTGTTATTATCTATTGAATAAAAATAATAACAATAATTTTTACGTAGGTCATAATAGTGATGTTACAATTATATAACAAGCTCATCAAATTATGTAACAGAATCTCATAATTGTGATATAATAATAAGTCACAACGTGATATAAGTGTGATATAACAATTATGTAACATATTTACATAACTGTGATATAATAATAAGTCACAACGTAATATAAGTGTGATATAACAATTATGTATCAAATTCTTCTAATTATGTAACATATTTACATAACTGTGATATAATAATTAAATATCACGCTGCAACATAATTGTTATATCACCCTTCTTGTAACAATTATGTAACTGTGACCCTCATGTTACGACATTTCGTGTCACATGTTCATATCATGTTATATCACGTGTGATATTCTGTGACATAACTGTTACATAACTGTTATGTAACAATGTTTGCTGGGTCTGTATATTTGAAGTTTAATGAGCTTTGGGACTAAAGATGTTCAGAAGGTTGCAGGCAAGATAATAATTTCAACTTTCAGGAAATTTTCGGTGTTGCATGAAGTACTTATATGCTACACTTTTGTTATTGTCTCAAAAAAAAAGAAGAAATAGTTGATAAAATTTTATTGTTTCACAGGCGATTGGAAAAACTTCTGGATCAATATGATCTGGAGAATAAAGAACCGGAATCCATTGATGAGAGGATTGTCGATGAAGATGCAAGTACCATCGAAGAAAATAATTTCAAAGTAAAAGATGAATAAGTTGTTGTATGCTGAATTATATAAATATATATAGATTAAGTTCATATAATTTTAACTTTAATCATTATTAATTATTATGAAATAAATATCAAGAATATTAATTAAATTTTAATAGAACTTTATACTAAACTTCACATAAGTTTTTTTAAAGTTTAGTATTTTTTATATCAAAATTTCACTTTGTTGCACTTTTTCCCTAATTTGTAAAATTATAATTTATAATTATAATTAATAAATATTGTAATTAATATTAATAAATATAATGTAATATTATAATTAACATTACCAACAGGTGTTCTCAATTTTTATATTCATAATTTCAAAATCTTCAACTCTTGAAATAACTGAAATGTTTAAATCCAATTTATAACGAAACTTTCTCATATCATTTGAAGTTTTGAACTGAAATGACTGAAACTGAGAATTTTAATTTCCCTAGAAGGTCTGGAAGAAATAACTAGTAGCAGACACGCCAACTTTCACGTCACAGGCCATGTGTGCCATGTGGACCGTTTGTATATATCAATTGTTGATGTATTGTGTTCAGTAATTCAGTTCACAAAGAGTGTTGAACAGGTCTTTGTAAAATAAACTCTTCTTCTTTTTTAATAAAAATTAATGTACGTGTAACGTATTTTAATCAGAGGATCTAACATTTCTAACATATAGCTTTTAAAATAGTGTTTTGTAATTGGAGTATAATAATATAAAGGTATGTTTAAATATGATAGTACTGTTTTCCCACATTGTTTTTGTTGCCACGTGGCTTTTGTTAGTATATGTGTATACATGCTTATATTAAGCATTATATATGTATATATACAAAAATATTTGCTTCCTTATGCGGGAAAAGCATAAGCACTTACTCAAAAAGTATGAAACTATTAAATATTTAAAACTTTTAAGATTTTTTGAAATAATATTTATTAAACTGAACCAAAGGTTTATTTACATAAAATAAATATTTTTTTAAGTTAAATAACAAACTTTATTTAAACTAAAACCTAGGTTTTTTGTAATAATTTTTTTAATAAATTAAATATTATTTCTTCAGAAAGAGATCAACATTATTTTTTTCTGCTACAGTATAAACTACTAATATTTGAAAATCATGTGTGGTATTTGGGCTCTCTTTGGCTTAGAGGGTGACACCCTTGCTTGTGCCTGTGAAAATTTTTCAAAAATAACACATCGCGGACCAGATGCATTCAACATTGAATACGATCAACGCATTAAGGTAAAGTAGCAAAACAAAATATCAAAATTAATCAATTAATTAAAATAGTAAAAGATAAATTAAATTTTTAATTTATTTAATACCCTTCTGAAGATCGGAGAAATTAAACCACTTAACTGCGGATAAGGAAGATTTTGTCCGTTAAATCTTCGTCTCAAAAGGGTTAACAATGTTTAATAATTAATTAGTTATAAAATATAATTAATTAAGATTTTAAATTAAATTCTTCCTTCAAGACTATTAATTTTGTAACTTATTTGCAGAATGGATACATTGGTTTTCATAGATTATCAATTGTTGATGGTCTCAGTGGAATGCAGCCCATGAGACTTTGTTCTTATCCGGAAATATTTTTACTATGCAATGGAGAAATTTACAATTATAAACAGGTAATGTAGTTATCAATTTAAATAATTTCAAGCCCCATTTTATAATCTTTTATTTCATAAATGTTCTTCAAATTCTTCAAAAATACAGGGACGCACTACACACTAAACTTTAACGAATTTTTGCGGTGTCCAAATTCCAAATATTTCGGTTGATACATAAAAATTTGATAATTTGGAATTCGAAACCGTAAGAATTCATCAATGCGTTCCAAATTATTTTCAGTATCAATATTGATAGATGATTCCGAAATCTAAGTCCGAATTTTAGTGAAAAATTTTTAAATTTGAAGTGCATTGAAAATTCTGATTTTTTGACGTTTAAGACCGGAAAGAGTTACATAAAGATTGTTTAATTAATGACAAAGTAACATTGTTTTAGCTTGGAGAAGAAAAAGATTACAAGTATGATACAAAATGCGACGTGGAAGCGATTATACATCTTTACGCAAATGCAGGAGCTGAAAATGTTGCTCGTTCCCTAGATGGAGTATTTGCCTTTTGTTTGATGGACCTTAAAAAGAAGAGAATTTTGATTGCCAGAGATCCGTATGGTGTGCGACCGTTGTTTATCCTCAAGGATGGAAAGGGACGTTTGGGTATATGTTCCGAAACCAAGGTAACGGTTACAAATTATTTTAGCTTTGGGTATTTTCTGTTCGTTTTAGTTTAGTATATATTCTTCTTGGTTTTAGTATATTTTTTAACATTTTGTTTAATTGCTGCTTTCTAAAACAGGGTTTAATTGGAATAACCGAAAAATTCCCCAGTGACTGGGAATTGAAACCATTTACACCTGGATTTTATCAAGAATATGAATTAACGGAAGAGGGAAAAGTAAATCTTTTGAGAAGCGTACAATATCATAAGCCTGGTGATAAACCAGGGTTTACAACATTTATACCATCGGTGGATCTTGACTCCAAGGATGTTTCTGGAAATATCAGAAAATTACTAACAGGAGCCGTGAAGAAGCGTCTGATGTCTGAAAGACGGATCGGTTGCTTCTTATCCGGAGGACTGGATTCGAGTCTAATTGCCGCGTTGTTTGCTGCAGAAGCTAAGAAATTGAACCTACCGTATAAATTGCAGAGCTTTGCAATTGGAATGGGTGACAGTCCTGATATCAGAGCTGCTAAACAAGTAAGGAAATTTATGCTAAACTGTTATTTTAGATGTAGACCTTTATTAGTGACCTATTATCGAACTATTAGTGGACTTCAATCATTGATTACATCAAAATTCGGTTGTCTTTTGAAGGTTGCCGAATTTATTGGTACCGAGCATCATGAAATTATTTTCACCGAAGAAGACGTGGAGCAAGTACTGGACCAAGTGATTTATCAGATTGAAACATTCGACATTACCACCATTCGAGCTTCAATTGGGTATTATTTTTATTATTCATTCGGATTCGTTTCGTTTTCTTCTAACTTTGAACTTGAAATCTCATTTACCGTTTCAGCATGTACATATTATCGAAGTACGTCAAGACGAACACGGATACAACTGTAGTTTTTAGTGGCGAAGGCGCGGATGAACTGGCTCAAGGGTACATTTACTTCAAAAAAGCACCGAATGCAGAAGCAGCTCACGAAGAGTCACTTCGTTTATTAAAAGATATTTATTTGTACGATGGCCTGAGAGCTGACAGAACTACAAGTGCCTACAGTCTAGAACTTCGAGTCCCATTTTTAGATCTTCAATTTACCAATTACTTTCTATCGTTGGATCCATCTACTCGACAACCGCAAAGTAAGTCTCTATTCTTTCTAATAACAAAGCTTCTAGGGTTTTATAATCAAGAGTCGTAAAAATTATTCCTGTAAACTAAAATTATTACCTCCTTAGACGGTATCGAAAAACATCTGCTTCGATCTGCATTCATGGATTCTGATCTACTGCCGAAAAATATTTTATGGCGTCACAAGGAAGCGTTTAGTGATGGTGTTACTTCAGCCAAAAAATCTTTGTTTGAAATTATTCAGGATATCGTTGATAAGCATGTGAATGAGAGCGAATTACAAGAGGCTAAAAATGTTTATCCACATTGTACACCAAGTACAAAGGAGGCTTTTTACTACAGGTAAAAAAAACGCCTTCCTTTTTAAATATTTCCCTAAAATAATTTAATTCAATTAATTCAATTTTAGTAAGTAATGAAATATAAAAAAATCTTATTAATATTGTTTACAGAAAAGTGTTTGAAAAGCATTTTCCAAATCGTGGAAAGAGTTTGACACCTTATTTCTGGATGCCCAAATGGATTGACGGCATTTCAGATCCATCTGCACGGTTTATTAGCTATTACGCAGCTGAAGATGTCAAAAATGGAATCTAATCGTTTTCAAAAGGCGAAAATACATGGAATTGACAAAAGGATGATAAAATATAAAATTTTTATCTCTAAATAACGAAATTTTAAACTCACATTTTTTTATCTAATAAATGTTTGTCATTTGTCGTTTTAACGGATCTTTCTGGTCAAGGATTTGAAAAAAAATCGATTTTTCTCTTTTTGCTTTAAAATGTTTCTTAGTATTATAAAATTACTATTCCCAAGACATTTTTGAAGAAATATACAAAAGAGAAAAGAGTTATAATTTTAATGAATAGTTCTTCACTTTTTGTAATACGGTTACAAAAATTTTAAACGCGTTTTTCTCGAAACGAGAAGACACTTTTCTCGAAATCTACTGAACCGATTTTAAAATACCAAAAACCATTCGATTCTTTATCTGGAAAACTGGACTGGAATAAAAGGTATCATTTAGATGACGCTCAGTAAAATGAACTAAAAATACAAAAAGAAAAATTTTTTAACTCTCTTATAATATGTAATATTCAAAAGGAATTTTTGCAATAACAATAATACATTTTTTATAATAAGAGTTTAAAAAAGTGTGTGTAAGTTTTTTTTAAATTCTGAAACAGAAATTCCGCTTTTAATTAATTAATTTGAAAAATAGCTTTCATTTTATATGTGTAACAGAGATGAATAATTTTGTGGTTAAGAGTATGGATGCTGTTTGTATGTTTTTCATCTAAAAATAAAAAGCATTTATTTAATTATCGTTCGTAATTTATTTAATAGGGCCAAAGCGCGTTATTTTGTTGTAATTATTTTTCATTTTATTGTTAGAGTTGTCATAATTATTCAATAATAAAAAATTTTATTTTTCATAAAGGATACAAATTCTAACAAAAAAATTTCTTTTTTAATCTCATTTAATAGATTATTTTTTTAAAATAAAAAATGCTAGAAACAAATTTAACGTATATTAAAAAAGCGTAAATTTCGATATTTTAAAAATTTATTTAATTTTCTAAAAAAAATTAATTTAAAAAAAAATTTTTTTTTATTAAAAAAGAACAAAATTTGTAATTATTTGGACCCAAGGCCACTATTAACAAACTGAATTCGACGCAAATTAAGGTCCTTAAAAAAAATACAAAAAAAAAATTTACGAAATTTGGAAATGTATTTTCGTTTTCAATAAAGTCGTTAATCGCGGTTTTACAAGACTTACGATAAAATAAATATTATTGTAAAGAATAATCTATTAGTCCGTGTTCCGTATGATTCCGCCGTTTAATTTCTACGGAGCCTCATCAATTTATGCTCGGTCTCTAATAGAAAAGAGTGAGAACTGTTGCCTGCTGATCCTTTAATTAACGAATTTTCGCAAACCAAATCAGTTTACTAACGACAATTGAGGAGAGGATTTCATTTCTGACTACGATTCGAATGTGTTCAAGTAAGTGTTTATTTTTACTATTAACATTAAAATTAAGAAATGATTATTCTTATTTTTATTATTATTATTATTATTATTATTATTATTATTATTATTATTATTATTATTATTTATATTATTTATATTATTTATATTATTATCATTATTTATATTATTTATATTATTGTTTTCATATTACATTATTATTATTTCTATTAAATTATTAATTACATTCCCTATTTAAAATTTATTTTGTAAATTTTTTGTAAATTTTTTGATTTTTAATTTCTATTTGAAATTTTGAGATTTATATTATTAAAAGTGTATTAGTATTTGCCTCAGTAAAATTATTTATTAGACTCTTTGCTACTTTTAATTTTTTAAATATTTTCAGTTATCTTTTCCCTTTTAATTTTAAATATAAAATTAATGTCTTACTAATTTTAAAAAAAATAATTAAATAATAATAATAAGTAATAATAAGTAATAAGTAATTTTCAAAAATTAATTTTGTTTTAAATTTTAATAATGGTTAATTTCTGAAATTAACATTTTTAGAAAATTTTTAATCTAGTGAATATTTAATATATCAATAGAATAAGAAATTAATGGAATATAGTCAAATCACTTACAATTCGACTGTTTACAAACAACTTATATCAATTTAGATTCTCAATGTGACATTATATAATATTATATTCGACATATAAATTACTTCAAAGAAGTTTACAGATGTTTCAAAAATCTCCAATAAACGTCATTTTAAATTTAAACTTTTAGTTCAGTTTTTAATTAATTTAAGAGAACTGGAAAACTGTTTTATTTATTAATTGAAAACGAATTGTAATATTTCAGAAAATTAATATTAATTATTTAAAAAAAAATTATTCTCTAAATTTAAATTGTATTTTACTTTTTACTATATCAATATTAATTTTTTCCGTTACAGTAAACTACTAAATTTATTTGAAAATCATGTGTGGTATTTGGGCTCTCTTTGGCTTAGAGGGTGACACCCTTGCTTGTGCCTGTGAAAATTTTTCAAAATTAACACATCGCGGACCAGATGCATTCAACATTGAATACGATCAACGCATTAAGGTAAAGTAGCAAAACAAAATATCAAAATTAATTCAATTAATTAAAATATTTAAATAATAATTAATAAGTTAAAATATTTAATTAATTAAATTCAGGATTGCTGCAAATATTTAATTTTGTTTTTCCCTAACTTTTCCCTGATTTCCAGACTTTTTCCTGACTGATTTAAACTTTTTTCCTGACCCTAAAAAATATTCTGATTCACTATAAAAATTATTAGATACTCAAAAAAAATATTACATTTATTTACAAATTTCTATAATTGTAAAATTATTCGAAAACATCAATAACTTCCTTTTTAAATAAATATTTAAATTCAAATCTTTTGAAATTAACAAGTTATCAAAATGTTATTGTAAAACATAAAGATATCGATCACTCGAGGTCTTCGATTTATAATAATTTAAATTTAGTTTTATAACAATTTGAATTACCATAAAATATTTCAAAAAAATGTAATTATTTACAAAAATCCTAATTTAAAAAAAAATGTATAATAAAATTCGTGGCAACAATTCAATTATTTTCATAAATAATAAATCGATTTTTTGGAAATTCTTCAATTAAATATATTATAAGAAAATGAAAAATTCCAATAATTTAAAAAAAAAACTAGTTCTACAAAATTGTTAGTTAAAAGTGTGATAAATTTAGATTTTCAAAGATTTGAATTTGAAACCTTTACAAAATTAAATTATTTCTAAAAATTAATGCTGTAATGCTTTTAATATTCAATTTTTATCTAAAATTTAAACTGAAATTTATTTTTAAATTAATATTTATTAGAGAATTTTACTAGAATTCAATTACTTAAATAGAAAAATAAATAATTTATTGAATAATTAAATGTTTCTTAAAATTGAATTCTCATATAGAATTTTATGGACAAATTTTCAAATAATTGAATTCTTTTGACGAATTTTAATAAAATTTTTAAAAATAATTACATTTTTTTGAGGAATTTGATTAAAATTATATCAAAAATAATTAAAATCCTGCGATGAGTTTTATTACCTATATTTATAAAAATAATTAAATTATTGCGAAGAAATTTCTAAAAAATTTCTAAATAATTGAAAAGCTGGTAAATTTTTATTATTTATGAAAATAATTAAACGTTTGTGTAGAATTTTATTAAAATTTAAATAATTGAATTTCAGCGAAGAATAAATTTTCCTGTTTATAAAGATAATTGAAATCATGACGACATTTTTTTAAAAAATTTTTTAAAATAATTGAATTTCTGAAAAGAATTTTTATTAAAATTCTTGAAAACAATTAAATTTCTGGAAAGAATTTTGATATTTATCAAGGTAATTGAAATGTTGACAAGAATTTTAAGAAAAATTTTTGGAAAATAATATTAAATACTTACATATTAAAAAATACAACTAATTTCAACAGAATTGAAATTAAAATTGAATTAAAAATAATTGAAATTCTGCGATGATTTTTATTATTGATGAAAATAATTAAATCCATGTAAAAAATTTTATTTTTAAAATAATTGAATGTTTGCGTAGAATTTTATTAAAATTTTTAAAAAATAATTAAATTTCAGAAAAGAATTTTATAATTATTGTGAGAAATAGAAAAAATTAAAGGTTTTGTATTATAGAATTCGTTGTAATTTCATAGTTTATAAGGGAAACGAAAACAACATCAAAATTCAGAGTTTTTTTACGAATTTTGAAAAAATTCTGTTTTTTCCAGTATTTTTACTAAAAATCCCTGACTTTTCCCCCACTGAGAAAAAAAATTATTTGATTCAAACAAATTTTGTTTAAATCAAACTTAAAATATCTTTGCTATACAGTCAAACATATTTAAGTTTAATTTAAACATATTTTCTGGTTCAGCTTAAGAGATTATATATATTGAAATCAAAAATAAATTGTGATTGATTTTAAATTATCTGTAGTCAACTTTTAAGTTTGATTCAAACATAAAATTTTTAAACATAATTTTTATTTAAATCGTAACAAAAAATATGTTTGAATTAAATATAATTATTAAAACAAATAATACTTTTGAATCAATGCAGTAGATATTTTCTGTATATTGAGATTAAACTTACAAACTAATTTCAATTAAACAAAATCGTCTAACATTATTTTTGTGTTTCATTTAAGTATAATGTTTTCTCAGTGGCCGAATTCCTTGACCTATGTGTGGCAACCCTATAATTAAATAATATAAAGTTTATAATTTTCCCTATAATCTTTCTTCGGACTATTAATTTTGTAACTTATTTGCAGAATGGATACATTGGATTTCATAGATTATCAATTCTTGATGGCCTCTGTGGAATGCAGCCCATGAGACTTTGCCCTTATCCACAAATATTTTTATTATGCAATGGAGAAATTTATAATTATAAACAGGTGAATGAAGTTATGAATAATCAATTTAAAAAATTTCAAACCCTATTTTATAATTTTGTATTTAATAATATTTTTCAAAATACTCCTACCGAACACCAAAAAACTGTTCCATATTACGGATTTGTTCCATATCTGTAACAATTATGGAACAGTTTTTTGCTGTTTACTTTATTGTATTGTCCTAAACAGAACACATAGTTTTTTGCCCCTTAAGGTCTTTCACCGGAAAGAGGCACATAAAGATTTTTTTAATTTTAATGACACTGTAACTTATTTGCTTTAGCTTGCAGAAGAAAAAGGTTATAAGTACAATACAAAATGCGATGTGGAAGCGATTATACATCTTTATGCAAATGCAGGAGCTGAAAATGTTGCTCGTTCCTTAGATGGAGTGTTTGCCTTTTGTTTGATGGACCTTAAAAAGATGAGAATTTTGGTTGCCAGAGATCCGTATGGTGTGCGACCGTTGTTTATCCTCAAGGATGGAAAGGGACGTTTGGGTATAAGTTCCGAAACCAAGGTAATGGTTACAAATTATTTTAGCTTTGGGTATTTTCTGTTCTACTTAGTTTAGTATATTCGTTAGTATATATTCTTAGTTTTAGTATTTTTTTTTTTAACATTTTGTTTAATTGCTGCTTTTTACAATAGGGATTAATTGGAATAACCGACAAGTTCCCCAGTGACTGGGAATTGAAACCATTTAAACCTGGATTTTATGAAGAATATGAAATATCAGAAGAGGGCAAAGCAAATCTTTTGAGAAGCGTACAATATCATAAGCCTGGTGATAAGCCAGGGTTTACAACATTTATACCATCGGTGGACCTTGACTCTAAGGATGTTTCTGGAAATATCAGAAAATTGCTAACAGGAGCCGTGAAGAAGCGTTTGATGTCCGAAAGACGGATCGGTTGCTTCTTATCCGGAGGACTGGATTCGAGTCTAATTGCCGCTTTGTTTGCTGCAGAAGCTAAGAAATTGAATCTTCCGTATAAATTGCAGAGTTTTGCAATTGGAATGGGTGACAGTCCTGATATCAGAGCTGCTAAACAAGTAAGGAAATTGTTGCTAAACTGTTATTTTAGATGTAGACCACTATTAGTGACCTATTATCGAACTATTAGTGGACTTCAATCATTGATTACATCAAAATTCGATTGTCTTTTGAAGGTTGCCGAATTTATTGGTACCGAGCATCATGAAATTATTTTCACCGAAGAAGACGTGGAGCAAGTACTGGACCAAGTGATTTATCAGATTGAAACATTCGACATTACAACCATTCGAGCTTCAATTGGGTATTATTATTATTCATTCGGATTCGTTTCGTTTTCTTCTAACTTTGAACTTGAAATCTCATTTACCATTTCAGCATGTACATATTATCGAAGTACGTCAAGACGAACACGGATACAACTGTAGTTTTTAGTGGCGAAGGCGCGGATGAACTGGCTCAAGGGTACATTTACTTCAAAAAAGCACCGAATGCAGAAGCAGCTCACGAAGAGTCACTTCGTTTATTGAGAGATATTTATTTGTACGATGGCCTGAGAGCTGACAGAACCACAACTGCCTACAGTTTAGAACTTCGAGTACCATTTTTAGATCTTCAATTCACCAATTACTATCTATCGTTGGATCCATCTACTAGACAACCGCAGGGTAAGTGTCTTCATTCCTCTTAATTCTTATTGCAATCAGTAATTTAATGAAAACATTTTCAATAATTTAAAACAACTAAAATTATTACCTCCTTAGACGGTATCGAAAAACATCTGCTTCGATCTGCATTCATGGATTCTGATCTACTGCCGAAAAATATTTTATGGCGTCACAAGGAAGCGTTTAGCGATGGTGTTACCTCAGCCAAAAAATCTTTGTTTGAAATTATTCAGGATATCGTTGATAAGCATGTGAATGAGAGCGAATTACAAGAGGCTAAAAATGTTTATCCACATTGTACACCAAGTACAAAGGAGGCTTTTTACTACAGGTAAAAAAACTCCTTTTTTTAAATATTTCCCTAAAATAATTTAATTAAATTAATTTAATTTTAGTAAGTAATGAAATATAAAAAAATCTTATTAATATTGTTTACAGAAAAGTGTTTGAAAAGCATTTTCCAAATCGTGGAGAGAGTTTGATTCCTTATTTCTGGATGCCAAAATGGATTGACGGCATTTCAGATCCATCTGCACGATTTATCAGCTATTATGCAGCTGAAGATGAAAAATAGAGTATAGTTTTCTAAAACGCTAAAATATACGAAATCGACAAAATGAAAATGAAATATGAAATTTTTATCTCTAAATAACGAAATTTTAAAATAACAATATGTTTTATCTAATTAATTTTTGTCATTTGTCGTTTTAATTAATTTGTTAATTTTTGAAAAATATAAGTTTTATTGAATATTTTATATGTGTAACAAAGATTTATATTATATGGATAATTTATATTAAAGAGTGGATGCTGGTTGTTTGTTTTCACTCTAAAAATAAAAAGTGTTTATCTCTGAAATTATTCGTAATTTATTTAGTAGCCATAGCAGTTATTTTGTTGTAATTATTTTTCATTTTAATGTCAACAGATATTTAGCAATAGTATATCTATTAAAATTTTCTAATTTTCTAGCAAAATAAACCCGAAATTTAACTTCTTTAATACAAATCAAAAAATTAAAATTTGCTCATTATTCTTTAATTATATTCAAAATTCACACTTTTGCAAAAATTTAATACACACGAAAAATATTTCTTATTATCTAAAAACCGGAACTTTAAAAAAAAATTTGTTTATTAAAAATACACATTAACACAACGTTTTCATTTAAAATAATATAGAATTTTGTTAAAAATCGTGGTTAAAAATAGAAATTTTGCAAATGTTTTAATTCTTTAAAAAAATACTTGAGATGTCGTTCGAAAATTTTTATGAAAAAATGGAAATTTACTTCAGTTAGAGTTGTCATAATTTCTCGTCAAAAAAATTTTAGTAACAAAAATTTTTATTTTTCAGCATGAATTAAAGTTTCAAAAACCGCTGCCAAATTGTACATTTTTATAATTTTGGTGTTCATTTCATGAACACTTTGCTTCCTCATAGAAATAATAATAATTGAAATTTAAGAATTACTTTTTATAAAAGGGTTAAAAATCATTAAATCTTGGTCTAAAAAATGTGTTTTTATATATTCTATAAGATGGTAATAATATTTTAATAATTACACATAAGTTAATAAACAAGAATGTTAAAAAAATGATATTTTCCACAATTTTTGATTTTTCAAATACCAATAATTTCATAATTTCTGCCCGAATCAGGTTTAAAAATAGGTCAATCGAAGCGTTTTTTAATGCTCTTCAAGTTGGTAATAATTTTTTGAAGTTACTTTTACATAATTTAAAAAAATTTTTATAAAAGTCTTATTTTTCAAAATTTTAGATTTTTAAAAGTTTAATATCTCCGGTTAATATGGACGAAAAATGTTCAATTATAGGGCTCAAAAGATGCGTGTGAAAAAACTCTACAAAACTAAAGAAAAAGATTTATAAGTGTCCTAACATTTTTTAAGTTATGTCCAAAAAACGTTTTTTTACTAAATGAAAAATGCAAAAAAAAAAATAGTTAAACTTCATGAATCGGGCTGAAAATACTCTCATTTTATGTCCCCCGGGGAGACCTACAATTTAAAAAAAATTGAGGGCTTTAGCTCTTTCTCGTTCTGAGATATTGAGGCATATGTAATGTTAGCACACACACACACACCGGGACAAATTTTTAAAATCCGTTTTTTGGACTTCGGAGGTCAAAATACGTCGAAATTTTTTTTTATTTATTTAGAACATTTATACGGAGCGAGTTCCTGTGCATATATAAAGTACTAAAGTATTAGGCATAATAAAAAAAAAATTTATAAATATGTCAAAAAATGACAATCCAAAATTTTGCTAATACAAAGGTTCCTTTATGAGGAAGCAAAATAAAGAAAATTTGTTTTTACAATTTCATTAATAGAATATTTTATTTTAATTTTTAAAAAATTTTTAAATATTTTATTATTAAAAGTGTTGGAAAAACATTTAACATTTATCAAAAAAGTAAATTTCTACTATTTGAGTTAAAACTTTATTGATTTTCCTATAAAAATTTACACGAAATTTTAAAACGTATTTCTTTTCGTTTTCAATATAAAGACGTTACAATCGGCTCAACAAAAGTATTACGATAAAATAAATATTTATTTTAAATAACTTTTATTTGACCCAAAAATAAATAATCAAAATAATTAAAATTTATTTGAAACAAATAAAAAGTTTTGTTGGCTCTGACTAAAAATTTTTTTTTTTGGGTTTTAGGAAAATGGTATTTTATAAATTACGTAAGACATTTTTTTTTTGAAAATTAAACCCCCCCCATGTAAAAAATATTGCATACAATAAGTAAATTTTTTCTGCTGATCCTAAGACCCCCCTCTCTTTCGTTAAACTTGAATTTAGGGGCGGGCTCTAAAAGAAAAGAGTGGGGAGTGTTGCTTGCTGATCCTTTAGTTGAAGAATTTTCGCAAACCAAATCACTTCACTGACTGCAATTGAGACGAGGGTTTTATTTTTGACTACAGTTCAAAATGCGTACAAGTAAGTTTTGATTTTTACTATTAACATAAAAATTAACAAATTATTATTATTATTATTTCTATTAAATTATTAATTATTTTTGCGATTGAAAATTTATTTGATAGCTTTTAATTCCTATTTGAAATTTTGAATTTTGTATTAAATGCTTCAATTTTGCAAATATTTACAATTAATTTTTTTTCTTTAAATTTATTTTAAATATAATTAATATCTTAAAAGTAATTTTCTAAAATTAATTTTCTCTTAAATTTTAATAATGCAGTTAATATCTGAAATTAACATTCTACAAAATTTTTAAATATAGTTAATATTTTGATGTTTTAAATTAATTTCACATTTAATTTTAAGTAGTTAATTGAAATTCACTTTTTAAAAATTTTAAATATTGTTCATTTTAATGCACCAAATTTTCTTTTCTTCTTTAATTTGAAATGTTATTAAATATTTTAAATATAATTAAGTATTTTAAAATTTAAACATAAGAAATTTGAAACATAATGTATTTTAAAGATAGGAAGAAATTTAAAACATAATAACATATTTTTAAAAATAATTAGATATTTTAATAAAAAAAAAAAATTTTTTTTGTATTTTTAATTAAATATTTTTAACATAGTTACATATTTTAAAAATAATAAATTATTTTAATAGATTACTTTAAGTTAGCGTCCATTAGCGTGGAATTTTAACTTCGAAAATACTGTTATTATTTACGATGCTTTGAGACGAAGTGTATTTCTAATTTCACCTTTTCCATTCACTAGGGGATTAAAAAAATTTTTCAAATTAATTTTTAATTTAAAATTTTTTAAAAAATTGTTTCATTTTTTTGGTTTTGTAAAGAAAATGTTTCTCGACGCTCAGAATCGACGCTAACTTTAGAAACCAGTAAATAAGATAAAATAAAATATGAAATTCTATAAAGCATATATTTTAAATATATAATAGAATACCTATTTTTAAAAATATTTATAAAATTTTTTTTAATTTTAGTAATATTTGAAGTGTTACGATGTATCTTCAATTTTTCATTATATATCCATAATTCATTTATTTTTTTATAATTAAAAAGTATTTTAAATTATTATATTATTATTATTTTTTTTTATAAATATAATTTTTTTGAAAAAATAATAGTGGACTAATCTTTCTTCTTGATATTTGTTTCAGGCTTGATCCTACTTTTAGTGTTGGCCCTTGCGCTGGTAGCAACAGCGAAAAGATCCAGGTGCTACAGTAAAGTGTCATGCACAATTAAATATAAATATGAAATTGAAGAGGACTGTTCTGATGAATGCAGGAAAATAAAGAGGAAGAAGTATTACTACTACGATGACGAAGGCGATTATTTCTCCTATTTTGAACCAGAGGACTTCGCTCCATCTATTTACTATCCAATTTACATTGCACCATGTTATCCAATGTGTGACACGACCTATTCTTACTCTTCTTACGGTACCTACGGTTCTTATGGAACTTACGGATCTTACGGGTCCCAAAGGCCTCGCAAATAAAATTTAACTCTGCTTTAATCAAAAGTAGGAAAAAATATATTGAAATATTATTTTTTTGTGACCCGTTTATTTGACGATGTGAAATTTTAATTGTACATAATTTCGTTTAATGTTATATTTAAAAAAAAATGATTAATTAAAAAAAAAATATTGTAAATTTTTCTTCTTTATGAATAGAAATATGTATATGTCTTATATATAATAATCTTGTTTTACCAGAAGACAAAACGAATGTAAACATTTCTTGTGCAATAAAAATTTTAACAAATTATATAATTTTTTCTGCAAGCAGAAAATTGTCATTTCTTTCCTTTTCACAATTTCCATTTTTTTATAACATTTTTACTAATTCCAATTTAAAGAGTCTTTAAAATAAAATAATTTTAATTTTTTTTTTGTTTTTTTTTTCTAAAAAATCGAAAATTCAAATATTTCAAAGTTTTAAAATTTTAATATTTCAACTCTATATTATAAGAATTAAACAATAAATTATTTTTTCTAAACTTTTCAAATTTTAAACAGTAACTAATAGAATTTAAACACAAATAGATTAGAAATTGTTTATAATAGAGAATTTAAATAAAATAATAAATTTTTATTTTATGTTTCAAATAAATTTTTTAATTTAAAAAATTAAAAAAAAAAATTCTCTCAAATAATCTGCATTTTTGTAGGAATTTACTCTTTATAATTTAACAAATAATAAAAATAATATAATAAATAATCAATTAAATTACTATTAGTAATGATAATTAGTAATGATAGATTAATAAAACAAATTAAGAACCAAAAAATATTCTTTTAATAAATCAAATTTTTTCGCCTTTTGAAATTTTAAACAATACATTTTTTTTAAACAGTGTAATTAACAGTTTTTAACAGTTTAACTGTTTTTTAACAGTGTAATTAAAAAATAATTTTACTTAATTTGTTATAGGGTAAGTGCGGGTATAGTCGGACAGTACTAGTAGTCGGACACTTTCGTGTTTTTTGGCAAATAAATAATAATGCATTGTGATAATTACTTTAAAAAGTATACTAGACAAATGTGTGAAGTTTATATTTTATTAAAATAGTGTTATTTTCGAAAATAATTAAACAAGAAACATTTTATTTAATGTTTTAAAAATCATGGTGTCCGACTATAGATACAACCATTTTCGAGTAGCGCGATGAGTGGCACAAAGTTTTGTTGATAATTAATCATAAATATTAAAACTTATAGGGTTTAAATATTATATTAATAACTTCTAATATGCTTTAATTCCATTTTCCAGCAGATAGCAATTAAAAAATTATCTTTTTTACTTTATAAATCCAAAATATCTGACAGATGTCCGACTATAGAAACAAGGAAAAAAAGTGTCCGACTACTAAAGCATTCGTAATTTTTTATTAAAATGTTTATATTTTATTAAATACTCAACTATTTGTAACAAATTTATATGATTTTTAATCCTGAAGAACTCCTTTAATTAATAATGTGCTTATAAACACAGTAGATATTTGCTATTTCAAGAAAAAAAGCATAATTTAAGATTGTATCCTTAAGTGTCCGACTACTAGTGCATTTACCCTATAGATAAATGGATTACTTTAAAATTTTTATTTTTTAATTTTGCAAAACAACAATAGTCTATATCTTTTTTTTTAATTATCATTTTGTAGATATTTTTAAAATAAATTCGTTTTGATGTTTATATTAATCGGTCTAATTTTATTTTCATAATTAAATTTCACTTAAAAACAAATAAAAATTATTTAATAAGAAAATTTGATATTTTATTTCTTTTCTTTTAATCTTGATTTAATATTAAGATTTTAAAATAATTTACTTGAAGACCAAATTAAAAGAAATATAAATCTACATTAGAAATAAAAATTTGAAAATTTTTTATCATATTTTAAAGTGAATAATATCTTTTATTCTAATTGATATTTTTTATTTATAATTCTTTTTTTTCTAAAGAGTAAAAAAGATAATATCCACTAAAAGACTATAAAAGAGAATTTGTTAGTTTAAAAAATAAAAATTGGTAAAACTACAAAAATATGAGCGAAACGTTGCATTTAATTAAAAATATTTTTTAAAAACATTTTTCAAACTTTTCATTCCTTAACGATAAATTTTAAATTTATAAATTTCTTTTAATAAATATTAACAAATATTATTTTTGTTGGAAAAATTTATTTTCCAATTATTTTCTAAATTGAAATTGAGGAAAATTTTAATTAAATTAATTTGATTATTTGATAATTTTATGGAACTATTTCATTTATTTACATATTTTTATTATGGAAATTTTATCCTGTACGTTAGAGTTTTATTTTGATACAAACCAAAAAAGAATTAGAAATTAATTCAAAGATAATTGTGAATAAATTAAAAATGTAAATTTAAGAAAAGTTTTTCAAATTTATTAATTTTTTTTTATTGATAAAATTTTCCCTTAATTATAAATAATAAAAAGTTTATTTTTTAATCGTCTTTTTAACGTAACGTTTGATTTAATTTGTCAAATAAATAAAGATATAAACATTAAATTGAATAACATTAGTCTAGGTTATTAATAATATAAATAATAATTTAATATTTTTTAATTATTATTATTTTTTTATATTTAGGCACTAAAAAGAATGAATGAATCAAAAATGAAATATTTTGAATAATTAATTATAGCATTAATGTTATTAATTATTATAATTGTGAATGAATTATAAGTTTTGAATAATCTAAAATATCATTAATATTAATATCGAATATTAATATTTTATAGTATTATCAATTTGTTAATAAAAAATTTAGAAGTCTTTGATTTTGTCACTCGGTTTTTAATAAATTTAATGATTTATTTTATTTATTATTATTAATTCATTTTTTAAAGTTAATAATAAACTGTAATATTTATTATATATACTTGAATATTTATTAATTATTTAGTAATATTTATTATTTATTTAAAAATTTATCGCTAATTAATATTAATATACAATATTTAATTTTGTAAAAATAAAGAAAATATTAGTGAAAAATAGGACAATTTTTCAAAAATAAAAAGCCGCCCCTGATGAAAAAATTTATGACAATATCATTTAGTTGTGAAATGTATTGAAGAAAATAAGAATTTATTTGGAGAATTATAAAGATTTATAAGTGTTTATTTTCCTACTTTGTGATTAAATAACGATAATAGTCAGGGTTTATATAGGTAGTCCTAGGGTCTCAAGTTCAGAACTTAATTAGTTTCCAAACTGTTCTTGTGGTGTTTGGAGTATTGACATAATCTCCAGGAAATTGTACATTCCATTGAAGATGCGTTTAAGTGAGTAAATCAATTTTATTTTATTCTTTTAAAAATAATTTTTTCTTTTTCAACCTTATTTTACATTAAAATGATTTATCACTTTAATACTAATCATTTTTACAATTTATTTTTATTAATTCTTTAAATTAACAATTTCTTTATTTTATTTCATTCTTTTATACTTTATTCTATTCTTATTTTATTCAGTTTTCTTTTTTTTCTTTTATTTCATTTAGTTCTTTTTGTTTATTTATTTTTACTTATTTTTATTTACTTAAATCTTCCGGGTATTTATTGAAATTATTTTTAATTTTAATTTTATTTTTTATTTATTTATTTATTAATATTTATTTTATTTAATATTTTTAAATTAATTTTTAATTCAATATTTTATCTAATATTTAATTTATTATTTTTTATTTTATTATTTAGGATTAAATTTATTTTCATTATATTCTATCATAATTATTACGTTTGATGAAAATTGTATCACTTTTAATTATAATTTATTCATTTTATACTTGTTGAGAATTTATCATTAAATTAACTTGAATTATTTTAAATTTATGAGAGCAGAAAATTTTTTTTTAAATGTTAATTTTTAATTTCTATTGTGTAAAATAATTTTTATTGTACTAGAAATTAGTTTTTCACTTCAATTTGCAAATTTTTAAATAAATACCTAATAATTTATTTAATTATAAAATTATTAATTTTTGATTTCAACTTTCTGAAGTATTATTATTTTAATAAATATTATTTGAAAAATTTTCAAATATTTTAAGAATTTGTAAAATTACCAGAAATGGAAATCGATATTTGTTTACTTTAAATACATTCTCCAGTGTTTTTGTTTTTGATTCGTTTAAAGATTAATTGTAATTTTATTTACTGTTTGTATTAATTTCATGTTAATTTATTGTTTCGACAAAAATTTTTTTTGTTGAAATATTAAATATTGGATTATAATTTTATTTACTATTTGTATTAATTTGATGTTAATTTATTGTCTGGACAAAAATTAATTTTTTTTAAATATTTAATGTTTCATTATTGTTTATTTATTATTATTTGTTATTATAATTATTATTTATTATTATTTATTTGGGGCCATCCACATATTACGTCACATTTTAAGGGGGAGGGGGGGGGGTAAAAATGTCCAAAAATAGTGTGACGTAATATGTGGATGGCCCCTTATTGTAATTATTATTTATTCATTATTATTATTTATTTATTAAATATAATTTATTTATTACAACTGTTATAATAATAATTATTAAAAATATTTATGTAATAATATTAATTTTTTGTGTTTTTTTTCAGTTGCGAGTCAGTTCTTGCTGCTCAGTGTTGCACTGGCTGTATCGGGGCAAACTTATAAATGCTGGTACATTAATTGCAATGATTACGAAACGGCTTCGCTTCAACAATCAGTCGACACTGATGGTCAAATCAATCAATACCAGCCACTTGGACAAATATTTGTCAGTCAGCAGTTGAATCAAAATCAGCAGGTAGCGAAAATGGACTTGAATCAGCAACAAGTAGTTGTCAGTCAGCAGCCTAGCCAAAGCCCCAATGTCCTTAAGGTGGAGTCTAGTCAATTTAAACCAATGCTGCAAAACTACGTGACCAGCCAGCTTGGAGCCTCGACAGTGAATCAACAGCCAGCTCACACCCAGTATACGACCTGGATTCAAAATCAGCAACCAATTAAGACCCCTGATGTACCCAAGGTGGAGACACAACAATATACTCCAGTTTTTCAAAATTTCGTCAGCAGTCAGTTGCCTAGTCAAGGCCAACATGTAGCCTCGATTCAGCCTTTCCAAACTCCGGAAGTTGCCAAAGTGGAGACCAGTCAACAGTATGTTTTTGTACCTCAAAATTTCGTGGCTAGTCAACCGGAAACAACTGTGAATGTGCAGCCAAGTCAGAGCCAGTATACAGCCTGGACACAGCAGTCAGTTCAAAACACGGTTGCACCCAAGGTGGAAAGCCAATATGTTTCTCAACCACTGAAATTCGTCGCCAGTCATCCGGAGACAACTGTAAATGTGCAGCCGAGTCAGAGCCAGTACACGACCTTCACACAGCAGCCAATTCAACACTCAGTTGCACCCAAGGTTGAGACCAGTTATCAATATGTTTCTGTACCACAGAAAGTCGTCACCAGTCAACCGGAAACAACTGTGAAGCCAATCCAAAGCCAGTACACAGCCTGGACACAGTACCCAGTTCAAAACACAGTAGCACCCAAGGTAGTTTCCCTACCACAAAATTTCGTGGCCAGTCAACCGGAAACAACTGTGAATGTGCAGCCAAGTCAGAGCCAGTACACGACCTTCACACAGCAGCCAATTCAACACTCAGTTGCACCCAAGTTTGAGACCAGTTATCAATATGTTTCTGTACCACAGAAAGTCGTCACCAGTCACCCGGAAACAACTGTGAATGTGCAGCCAGCTCAAGGCCAGTACACGACCTGGACACAGCAATCAATTCAAACCCCAGTTGCACCCAAGGTAGAGACCACCTATCAATACGTTTCCCTACCACAAAACGTTGTCACCACCCAGCCAGAAACCCCGACCGTCAATAAGCAGCCAACTCAGAGCCAATATTCAGCCTGGTCACTCAGTCAGCAGTCCCCTCAAACCCCAGAAGTTTCCACTCATCAATATATTTCCCCCTCTCAAAATTCCCCCACCATCCAATTTGCGACCCTAAACAATCAGCAAACTCAGTACCCCACCTGGATCATCAATCAGCAGCCCATTCAGAGCCAAGAAACACCCAAGGCAGACTCAGCTCAGCAATATTACGTCAGCAGTCAGTCAAATGGAGCCTGGATGGCGAACCAACAGTCCACTCAAAATTTGGAATCTACCATTACCCTACCACAAAATTTCATCGCCAGCTCACAAACTAGCCAGAGCCCTGTTGCAACCATGACCACCAACCAAAAACCCGCCTCGCTCGCAGGAAACATCGACTTCTTCTACCAACAACCAAACCGATTTCTAGTGAATTTCGTCAGCTATCCAATTCAGGAAACTAGCCAGAGCCAGCTTTCCGCCAATGTGGACCCAAAAATGGAACAACCAACGTTACCAAACCCAAACTTGGTGAAAATCGAGGAAAGTGACAAAATACCAGTTGCGAGTTCGGTGAATGTAATAAACACGGTCAAACCTGGCCTATTCGTGGCAAATAGTGCAAATAACCAAAACACGGAGACGACAACCACTGTAGAAATCGAAAAGAAGCCAGGTCAAAGCCAAGGAACCGTCCAGGTTAACAAACAACCAATCGAAAGTCAACAAACAACTGATGCGCCATTAAAAGAAAAAACCGAAAACCTGAGTGTCCCAGCTGAACAACCAGCTGAGAGCCAAGTTACACCACAAGGAAACACTGTAACGGAGACTGCAGCAAACCAAGAATAAAATAAAGAAAATATAAATCGCAAACAAGAAACAAAAAAAAATTCTAATTTATTAAAGACTGACAAATTTTGACGTGGTTTGCTCTGAAAAGTTTAACAAAAATTCAAGTGTGACACGAAAGTATATAGATTTAGTGATTTTTTTTATAATTTATTTCTAGTGTATAGTTGTTGAAAGACTGAAAAATAACTGGCAATTGTAAACAAAGACAAATATTTAAAATTAAAAATTAAAATTTTTTTATTTCTTTTAACAATGGAACACGATTTTTATTGACACTAAATTGACGCATTTGAATTTTAGATACGTAAAATATCTGTACAACTTTTGAATCAATAAATTGTTAAACTTTTTACATGTATACAATTGGAAATCATTAATTATTTCCTCCACTAAATAGAATATAATTTATTTATATAGATATGACATAAAAAAAAATTACAAAAATTTCAATAATACAGTAAAGAAAAAAGAAATGTTCAATTCTAACTTTTAATTTATAGTTGAAATTTTCCAATTTAATTTTAATTATAAAAATTTTCTTTCAGTAAAGTAAAAAAAATTTTGATATACAAATGAACAAATAAAGGATTTTTTTATCATTTACTAACAGCAATTTTTAAATATCTATTTGTAAAGAAAATATCAAAAAAATTAGTTGCAATAATGCAAAAAATAATTTTTTTTTAATTTGAAATTTTTTAAGTTTCAATATTTAAATTTATTTCTAAAAATAAAAAAAATGTTTAATTATATATTTCATAGCATTTAAATTAAACATTTAATCTAATTCTATTGCAAAAATAGAATATTTGAAATTATATCTAAATTAAAAAAAAATATTTAATGTCATTTAAATTAATATAAACATTTAATTTAATTTTATTGTAAATTTAATTTTAAATACAATTTCACAACAATAATTAACCCCAATTTAAGAAAATAAAATAAAAAAAGTGAAATTAAAAAAGTTATTAAAACTTTTTAGAAATAGGAGCAAGAAATTTTATTTATAAAAATTTAACTGAAAATTTAATTTAATTTTTCTAAATTATTTACAGAAATTTAACAATCATGAAAAAAATTTAATTAGGTACAATTTTTCAAAAGACTAATTTTTTTCATAATTTCCCAAAATTAAATTATTCAATTCTTGCGAATGATTTTTCTGAAATAAATACCTAATTAAATATTTTTTTTTTTTAAAGGAATTAATATTTTAAATAATTTTAATTGTGAAACCTTTTTGAAATTTTATTAATTTTTTTAAAAAATTACAATTGTAATTTTTAATTCAATTATTGTTAAAAAGTGCCAGGAGAATTCGATTGTTTAATTTATTATTAACATTTAAATACTAATGTTTAATTATTATTTACAATTTTATCTGAAATTTACTTTTAATTCAATTCTTCCTGGAAAGTTCTACAAGAATTCAAATATTTAAACACAAAAAAAAAATAATCCATTATTTTCTAAAATTGAATTCTTGTAAAGTATTTTATAAAAATTTTTAAAACTAGTTGAATTTCTTCACAGAATTTTTAATAAAATTTTTAAAAAATGAATTACATTCTTCGAGGGATTATTTTGAAAATTATATTAAAATTAAAAATAATTGAAATCCTGCAAAAAATTGTATTATTTATGCGAAAATAATATTAAATTCTTACAAAGAATTTTATTAACACAATTTTTAAATAATTAAATTTTTTTGAAGAATTTTTTATTAAAAATTTGGAAAATAATTAAATTCTTTCGAGGAATTTAATAAAAATTGTATTGTAAATAATAAAATTCTTTCGGAGAATTTAACAAAAATTGTATTAAAAATAATTAAATTCTTATAAACAAATTTTATCAAAATTTATTAAAATAATTGATTTTATAAAATTTTTTAAAAAATAATTCTAATTCATTGAATAAAATGTATTAAAATTCATTATATTCGTCATAATTTTTTAAATAATTAAAATTTTACAAAGTACATATGTAATATAAATAAATTGAAAATTTTTGGCAGATTACTTTTCTTTGTTATATAATTTATCACAAACTTGAAGAATTTTACAAACAGTGAAATCTAAATAAAAACAAAAATAATCTCTTAGTAAATATAAATAATATAATAACAGAAATTTGATAAATGTTATAGCTCTACTGTTATCGAAAGTAAGGTATTTGGAATTATTCACTTATATAATGATATAAAATTCAATATAATTAATTTTTCAATTATTATATTTAAATCTTAATTTACTTCACGATTTCGCTTATATTAATAATAATTTTTTAACTATTCTTTAACACACGTGAATTTTTCATTTATTTGTAGGTTTTTTTCGTAAAAAATGCTGCTCGGGTGAAAAAAAAATTTTTTCTTGGGAAATATTTCAATTTTTTTTTATTTTTCAAAAATTTTATTTCAATACTTAAAAAAATTATTTTAAAATTTGTTCAAATTGTATATAAATAATAAATAAATGTATAAAATGTGGTAAAAATTTAGGGAAGTTCATCATCACAGTACCATCGACGTTCGAGGCAAATTGCTGATTCTTGATTGCTTTCCCCTTCATTTATTCCATAACGTATTCGCACTTGACACTCAACTTCTTCTGTTTCTTGATAAATTCTTTTTATTCCCCAGAAAGCACAGTGAACTTGCGAAAGAAAAAAAATTTTATAAAAAAAATAAATATTATTTTAAATTTGGGGTAATATTGCATCACAAATTTGGGGCAATATTGAATTATACAAATAAATTATATATACATTTCAATTATTTTTAATACAATTTTAATTGAATTTCTCGAAAAATATAATTATTCTTAAAAATTTTATTAAAATTCGTCGAAAAAAAAATTCTTCTCAGACAAGATTATTTTAAAAAATTGAAAAAATTCATTGTTTAATTCATTATTTTCTAAATTTTTAATTAAAACTATTAAAAAACATTAGTTTCAAAAAATTTAAAGAAACTTGTCAAAAGAATTTAATTATTCATAAAAACTCTATAATAAACATTTTTGAAAGCCATTTTAAAAATATAAAATTCTCAAAACTAAAATATTTTTATAATAATTAATAAATATTGTATGTATTTTTATACCTCTTGCTTGATATTTGCTTCTAAATTGACATTCAATCCCAATAAAAAAACAAATAAATAAGCATAAAAATAATAAATTTGTTCTCATTGTAAATTTTTTGATTGTCACTTTTAAGTTAACAACTTTTTATGCAACTGTCTTCTAAATTTTCATTTCTTTATTTTATATCCAAATTCATACAATAAATATCTTCAAGAGAAAAGAATCAAATTCTATCATATAAATTAACTATAACGAAAAAAAGAAAATTTTTGAATATTTTATTAATAAAAAAATGTAGGTTTTTGAGATACAATAAAAAGTTTTCTTTACAATTACTTAAAGTTGTTTTAATATTCTAATTACTTTTTTTTTTCAACGCTGAAAATTAAAATATCTAATGTACTTTATTTCAAATTAAAATTGAAATAAAAAAAGGTTTATAAGTAACAATGTAACATTTTTAAGAAAAGAAAATTTATAGGATATTGTAAAATCACTATTCAGATATGTACTACAATATGAGATTAAAGTTTAATTGCTTTTATGACAAAGAAAAAATTGTGTTTGTATATTCTTTGTGTCACGTCTTTAATATGTACTTTTAAAATTTGCATTAGTATATATGAAATGTAAATATCAAAATATCGTCAAAGTCTTTCTTATCTATCACTTTTGATGCAAACATAATTTTATTAAATAATTTGTCACGTTCACGCAGTCATAATTGTTGATAAATAAAAATTTTTGTTACATATATATAATTATTTATATTTATTTGTGCATTCGTCAAATTTGAATTAAAATTAATTATAAATTTACAGAAAATTTGATTTTAAATCTCTTCAGTTGGTAAGAGAGAAAATTGCTCTTCTTTTAATCTACAAGCAGTAAGCTTGGTGGCCAAAAGACTAAATTGCCATTTCGCTAAATTAAAATTTTACACAGTAAGAGGTTAGGTTCGAAACACTCAGTCGGTAAAACAGTTTTGCTGTGCGTGGTTTAGCAAAATGGCAATTTAGCCTTTTGGCCACCAAGCGTAATTCCGCGCATTGGTAACTTCTCGTTACCTAAGGAGCAATATTATCGATGAATGATAAAGAATGTTTTTCAAAGATAAACTTTCTGGTAATTTAAATTGAATTAACAAAATTTTAATTACTTAATAAAATTTTTCTTTAATTTTCCAAAAAAAATTTTTAATATTCAAGAAAATAATTATAAACATTCAAGAAATGACGAAATCGATGACGAGGAAACATTGTAAGGGTTTCGTGAAAGTTACACAGATGTCACGAGTACGACAATATAAAAATATTTAGATTTGGTCAATAAAATTAAATATTTAAAATACGTTTCTCATTACGTTATATTTTTTAAATATCTATATTTAATTTTAACAAAAATTCATCTACTAAATTGTTCATTTACACACTTATGCTGATTCAATTTATTTGTAATTTAATATATAAAATTTTGTAAAAAGATTTTCTTTATTATTTAGATAATTATATAATTATATCGTACAATTTTTCGCTAACTAAGAATTAAAAATTATGAAAGAAGATTTCGACGATTTGTAATGTTAATGCAGTGTTCTCAATATTGCTGTAATATTACGTGCTACTGGGGTATATTTTATATATTTTTATTTATATATTATTATTTATTTATTCATTTCATTTAAATAATTTATTATATTATTTTAATTAATTTTTAACCTACTCATAAAATAAGAATTTGGTTTTTTTAATATATAAAGCTTTTAATTGTTTATTTATTATTCATTCATTTTATTTTTTAATTATTTATAATAATTTATTATATTATTTAAATTAATTTTTAACCTACTTTAAAATAAGAATTTCGTTTTTTTAAATATAGCAAGCTTTCAATTGTTTATTTATTATTTTGGTTCGTAATCTACGAATTGTCAGAGAGGTTAATAACTTTTCACAGAGAAAAGAAAAATTTGTTGAAAAAAAAACTCAATAATGTTACGTGTCGATCATGATTGTGAGATTAATGTTAAACAAGATGATCTTCTATTCCTTCCGGGTCGTGGACCTTTACGAAAAATACTTGATTGTTTCCGAAGATTTATTATGGCCTCCAATAAATCTCCCTTGGCTCGAAAATATCTCAGAAGTAATTTTTCCATCAATTATGAGAAGCGCCGGCACTTGCGAAACTTTAAGGAAGTCATTCATCCCTTTAGTTTATTCAGGTGGGTTTGAAAAATAAAATTATGTGGATATAAAAATTTATTACGAGATCGAATTACTTTCCCAAAATGGAGAATGTAATTAATATTAAAATATTGTTGTGGAAGCACCTTTAGCCACTGGTTGATTTTATAATTCTTTGACTGCCCAACCTTGCAATAAAATGACAGACGTTCATTCTTTTCCTTCTTATTTACGATTCAATTTTGCTCGTTTATTTTTTTACTACTTAAATGTTATAAAATTCAATTTAACTAAATGTTAATTTTAGTTTTTATTATTATAGAGAATTTCTTAATATTATTGCAGTGAAACATTGTCCCATCACAGTTTTTTTATATATTGAAAAAAGTTACAAAACATTAAAATCTGTTCCAGGCACTGGTGGAATATCATGATGATAATTATTATGATCATTTGCTTCGTTATTTTCCCTTACCAGGCAGCATTTAATATTTCCACAGTCAGCATTTATTGGACATTGGCAAAAAATTCTCTAAACTTTATTCTATGCTGCGATATTCTTGTGAATTTAATGACAGGGTGAGTTGCATTAATAATTATAATATTCGCCTTATTATTGTGTCAGTTGTAATGAAATTTCATTTGTTCGAAATAGATTTACGATTTACGTTAAATATTGTTGTATACATACCTTGTTTTTTTAAAAGCACTTTTTAAATTCCATTGGTATTCAATATTTCTCGGATCACTCGATTTGTAATTTTCTATTGAAATCGCTATTCTTAACCCCAAAATCTGATCGTCTTTTCTTTCTGTGAAATGCTTTTTCCGTGAATTGACAACTTAACGAAGCTAGGAATTGTCCGTGTTAAGGCCAATGCACAATGCCTACAAAACTTTTATTTAGATACATTTTCTATTTAGATACTTCGATGAGACTCAGAGAATAGTTATGATGGAGAAATCAAAACGAATTCGCCACTACATCTACCCGGGAACATTAATTCCAGACATCATTGGTTCCTGTCCAACAGATCTATTCTTCATCTTCGCCTGGGATGAGACGATCATCCTCCGGGAGTACTGTTCCCTACTGGTGATATTCCGCATCTTCAGTATCTACTCCTACATTCGGAATCTTGCCCTAGCCTACGATTTTCACACAACGCCTTATGAAATATTCAATTTTTTCTTCTGGGCCACAATTCTCATTCACTGGCAAGCCTGTTTGTTCTGGATCATTCCAATAGCAGTCGCATCCCTAGCACTTTTGAAACCCCCTTCCAAGGACTCGTGGATAAATTTCTCAAATCTCTGGAACGAGAGTAATTCGGAAAAGTATTATCAGTGCTTCATTAGAGTTATCGCTACATTCACGAGGTGCGGATTTCAGAAAGAGGAAGCCTACACTGCCGAGGATCAGTATTTAATCATCATTTTCCAATTGTTGGGAACCATTGTCCTGTGTATTATGATAGCAAGGATTATGCAGTACTTTCAGAGTGCCAACAGTTCTAGACTCAAGTATCAAGCGGCTATTGGTGAACTGCAACAGTACATGAGATACAAACAGTTGCCACGCAAAACTCAGAGGAGATTTATTTCTTACTACGAATTTCGGTTGGTGTACACTTAAATGTATCTTATGCTGTCTTTAACGAAATGTTAGTTTTTTTTTTTTGTTGGTTACATGGCTTGTTGCATAGAAATGTTAGTTCGTGACATTAACTCATACACCACGAACTAATAACATTTTGATAGATGTGCCACTAGATAGTCAATAGGTGACTTATATGCTGCCCTTGCGTGGCATTTCTATCTCGATCTTATTAGTTTATGACTAATAATATGTAGATAGATAATAGATAGATTTATTAAGATAAAATTGTCATTAACAAAAATTATTTTTGTAGATTTCAGCATCAGTATTTCAGAGAGTCGGAAATTCTCAACACTCTCTCGAATCAAATGCGGCAAGAAATAAGAATGCACTCGTGCAGAAAACTAGTGGAGAATGTACCATTTTTCAACAATATTCCATTAACATTACTGGCGAGAATAGTTGCACTCATGAAGTCGGAAATATTTTTGACTAATGACGTAATTGTCAGGGCTAATACACCTGGGGACTGTATGTATTTCATAGCAACGGGAACAGTGGCGGTTTATACACCTTCAGGAAAGGAGGTCTGTCATCTAGAAGATGGCGCTCATTTTGGGGAAATTGCCCTCGTGATGCCTGACGAGAAGAGAATAGCCAGCGTTGTTGCCGTTGAAGTCTGTGAGCTTTATCGACTCGAAAGGGCTGATTTCGCAAGAACTATTCATCCTTATCCGATGCTTTGGGAGCGTATCAAGCAAATTGCCATGGAACGTCACGAAAAGACGGTTATTTTCAACGCACAGTGAAGGTGAGTAGATCTGGTCTCCATTTTCAAAAAAATGTTTATCTTTTTTACTTTCGATTTCCTAGTTCGATATTTTATATAAGTCACTTTCTTCTTATAAGCTCAATTGAGTTAATAGATTCGACAACGATGTTTGCGAACGTCGTAATGAGATAGAAAAGGATGGGAATATTTTTAGGTCTTCTTCTATCTCTTACGTACGCGAACGTCGTTATCGAATCTATTGTGTATTGGGCTTAAACTTTCTCACAAGCTGCGCCTGCGCCACCAGCGCAACGCCTGTGTCGCGACACTATAAAGAATAATTCATGGAATAATTCTAGTATAATGAATCAAAACAGATTTTATTTTTATATTAAAGAATTAATTGTTTAATAATTCCGTACTTTTCTTGACTGCGAAAATGAAAAAAAAAAAATGAAAGTGCGAGTGTCAGAGCAGTAAGTATATAAATATTTTGTCAGTAAATATCGTCAAATAACGCGAAATATTTGTTTTCGTGTAAATCTAACCTCACTTTTTGTACAGCTTTTTATTAACGATCAATATTAATATAATTAGTAGTATAACAATTGTTTTAATGATAAATTAAAAATTATGCAAAGATTAATAAATCATTTCCCCTTATTCGTCACAAATCAAATATTTAGCACCAACGCGGTAGTCAGGCGCCAGTTAATTTTATTTTAGAAAAATTGACAAAAGCAATAATCAATTCTCAATCAACAAGTACCAATAATATTAACAAATCTCAGAATAATATCTCAAAGGAAATTCCGTAGGGAAAATAACCAAAAAGAGGAACTTGATTACTCGAGACACGAGTCTTGTCAAACAGAAAAATTCACTTACCAAATCCCAGCAAAATGTTGTTTGTTAGTGACTTCTACTCATATGTCACGAACTATGAACATTTTAATAGATGTGTCACTACTTTTGAAAACGCCATCAAAACGGAAGGGCGGCACATATGCATTCGAGTGTGCCACTAGTTCAGAGTAATGATAAAGTAGAAATCTGAAATATCAAGTGATGACATTATCGACAGTTGATACGTAGCAGTTTTTAGTGTCATTATCGAGAAGACCAATTTTTCACAAAATTTGTTAATTAAATTTTATTATTTTCGCTACTTCTATAATTATCATTAATTTTATTACCAACTAAATGGAAGACAAAGTTACGTAAATAAACTAAACATTAAGTTTGCAAGAGCAGGAAGTGTTTTATGTTTCCATTCACCGGAAATATCAAATAATGCTAATAGCCAAGATGCTATTAAATATAAGTAAAAAATTATTTTTTCTCAAGTTGATAAAATCCATTGAAGCCGTGTTTTCCTTCACTAGGAAAATTATCCGCAAACGTTCATTTAGAAAAATTTATCTTCAATTCCGAAATTTTTATAATTTAAGGTGTATAATTTTTATATGCCCTAAATTATTTTCTAAGAAGTAAATTATAAACTTTTACATTTTTAAGATAAAATTATTTGTTTTAAATTCGGAAAAAAATTTCTTAATAATTTAATTTAATAATTAATAATTAATAATGTGTTAATAATTTCTTTGTGGGATTTGAATGAAAGTTGAACGGTGAAAATTACGATTCATGTATATATGGCAGAGGGACGATCCTCTCGTGGTAAACAATGGTTTGTGCGCATCGACGCATGGGCAGAAAATGCCTGAGAGGGTTGAAGAATAGAAGGCTAAAGGAGGGTAACAATGCAACGTTTATAGGAGGGCAGAGGTGGGCTATCCATTGTAATAGGCTGACAATGCGCCTGCTTGGTAAGGCACCTATTGGGGGACGATAAACACCTAACCCTTCATTAAAATATTTCATTTTCCCCACAGACACTGTCTCCACTTTTCATCGGAATTAAAAATCGGAATCTTAAGAATCATCGGAATTTTTTTAATTATTTATGTAAATTTTAGATTAATCTATACAATTTTTACTTTTCAAATTAGGATTTACTTCAAAGTGACGCTTATCCCTTTCGTCAAAGTTAGCCGGTCGATCTTAACATAAAAATCACGTTTTATCGACTGTAGGTAAAAAGAATTTCTTCTTTACCAACAGTCGGTAACAAAATAGAAAAATAATTTAGTCGATTTGGAATAATTTTATAAATACGTAATTGGCCTGAGAAAGGTAACAGTATTCTAAATATAGTTATCAAACGATTCAAAATTACTTAAGGACACAGAGAGAGGAAATTTTTTTAAAATAACAATATAAACTGAAGTTGGAAAAAAATGCATATCGTAAGGGTGGCCATGTTAAAGGAGAAATAATTATCTCTTATACAGTCGCGAATTCAACCCAAGTATAAAGTTTGGATCGTTAACGCATTTAACGGAGCGGAAACGATGCGAGCATAGTGATTTCTCCTTTTCTCATTACCCTCATCTCGGCAAATACATATATATCAACACACTTGCTAAATGTATCATTTACAGTTGAAGTTTATCCTTTAAGTACTGAAAACTTTTTTTTTGTACTTATCTTTTTAAAAAAATTATTATCAATATATCGTTAAATATTTAAAAAATCAAGATTTTAAAGTATTTCCTTTCTTCATTCTAATCTAGTTGAACAATAATATTTTAAAAAAGCCCGTAATGATATAGTTGCAGTATCGCAGAAAAATCTAATAAATAGAAATTAGCATCGAATTAATTAAAGTGAATGTAAGAGGAAAATTAATTACCACATAAAATTAATTTCTTCTTCAACTTTTATTTTTCGGAATCAAGTCTTTTTAATCGTAAATAATTTTTTTTTTTGCGAGAGAAAAAATTATTTATAGGTAAGTGTAATTATCTGTTAATGTGTTAAAATTGAAGATAGTGAAGGGTTATGAAGTATAAATATGTATAAATATATTAATTTATTATCAAAAAAGTTGTTTGAAAATTAAAGATGCTCAAGTTGGAATTTGTTAATAGACTTCTGTCGTTTGCTAAGAAACAAATGCAAATTTTCAAGGAAGTTAGATTCTTGACAGGCGAATAGTATTCAAGATGATAATCTGATCTTAAATGAGGTTAATTAATGCCTTGGAAAACCAGTTTTCAACAAGTTTTACTCATCCCTATCTTGTATAGTGATAAGAGAGGAATTTTAAATCCTCCTCGATATATTGGACCTCATGTAAACATTATTGTTTTAATTTTATTATTATAGTTGAGAAATTTATGTTAAAAGTTTATAACATTTATTTATCGACAGGTTTTATTTTTTTACTTTAATTATGGGGATTATTTTTTTGTACTATTTTTGTTGTTAGGGTGGATTAATAAAATTGACATAAATTATATTTTTATAGACAATATAATCTGGTTGTGAAGGCACTTTTCTTCAATGACGTTCGTGTTTGATTCTAACCTTAAAAACAAGTTATCGATTAGTTGAGGTATAACTGCTTTGGGAATGTAAAGACATTAGTTAGAAAAGGATAAAGTTATATTAGTGTCATTTTCTATTTCATGCTTTTCGTTTGCGAAGCTATTGTGAACTGGCCTTTACACACATCTCTGTCCTTTTCTAACCCATGCTTTACGTTCGCGAATACAAAGCGTGGGTTAGAAATTATTACAATTACCCACATAGCACAATATCTTGCTGTAAGTTTGTGGTGTGGATTACACGTATGGTTTGTAAGGATAGGGTTGTATACTTGTGGTGAACTTAAGGTAAACTTTAAATTTCCGCCATTACGGTATGCTTACAAGTAAAGGTTATCGTAAGCTTACAAGTAAAGGTTACTGTAAGCTTAAAAGTAAAGGTTATTGTAAGCTTACAAGCAAAGTTTACTGTAAGGTTACAAGTAAAGGTTATTGTAAGCTTAAATGGTAAGGTTGTGGTAAGGTTACTATAAAGTTGTAAGGTTGAGGTTAGGTTGTAGTAAGTTTACTGAATAAGGTAAATCTTTACAAAATAATTTATAATATAATTAAAAAATAAATAAAAAATTTTTTAAAAAAATTTTTGGTCTTGCTCCATTTTGGAAATCTAACAAGCCGTTGAAAATTACAATAACCTTTACTTGTAAGCTTACAATAACCTTTACTTGTAAGCTTACAGTAAACTTTACTTGTAAGCTTACAATAACCTTTACCTTTAAGCTTACAGTAACCTTTACTTGTAAGCTTACGATAACCTTTTCTTGTAAGCTTACCGTAATGGCGGAAATTTAAAGTTTACCTTAAGTTCACCACAAGTATACAACCCTATCCTTACAAACCATACGTGTAATCCACACCACAAACTTACAGCAAGATATTGTGCTATGTGGGTATAAAGATCTTATTTTCATCGAAAACTCGAGTAAAGATTTACATTTTACGATTTTTTGATATTTCAGACGACTGGGACGGTACAACATCTAAATACATTTACATTGTAAACCGAGGACTCTCAGAAACGATTCGTAGTTGTGACATTTCGAAGTTTGCTGAAGGTTGATCTGTGGAATCATCACTGGACATCGCATCGGTGACATGGGGTAAGTCTTTTTATCTAAATTTTTAAAACTTTGGGTATTTAATGGTAAAATTAAACTTCGTCATGCAGGTTACTATGGTATCTAACAAGAATGAGACAGATAAAACATTTTCCTATCTCCCTCACACTTGTAAGTTACCATGCCAACCTGCATAATGAGGCATGATCATAAGAGTTTCACTATATTTCTATTGAATTAGTTTTATTTATTGATTTATTTACAGATAATATTTTTGTGGCCTTTAGTCTATTAAATAAGAACAGTGTTTTTGTTCACAAAAGAATTTTCATATATTTAAAAAATTCGAATTCGTCTATGCATTTCGTCGTGATATTACGACTCTTTAAGACTGTAAAAAATACATATGACAGATGAGAAGATTTCGTCGAAAAAAAACAAAAAATAATAAAGTAGAAAAAACATACCAGCATGAGAATTTCGAGATAAATAATAATAATGGGATTTTTGATCAAACCATTATATACAATAAAAAACATAAAAACAAAAATAAAGGATGACAAAAAAAATTTTGAGGTTAGAATTGATGTTTTTTCGTTGAGATTTTTGTTACGTGTATATGCATGTCACTGAATGTAAAAAATATAGAATAAACACTCAACATTAAAAAATAATAAACACAAACAACACATTATATAAAAAAATATACAATTAAATAAAAATAAAAATGTGTGGTGTAAAAAAATGTGAACATGCTTTTCATCTTATGGCATAGAATATTCTCCATAGAGGTAGGAGCGTGAGAACAAATTTTTAGTGCGGCTATACACTGTGAGACAAGCTTAGTGTTTACGAAATACGGAGATTTAACGTTTTTATAATGCGCTAGATACGAAGATTACAATAAGCGCGAATATTCATTTTAAAAATATAGGTATAATATATTATTACATTTTTGATTATCACTAATTAAAATTAAATCGGGAACCACTAGGGTTAGTTCGACGTAACATTATACTTAGAAATTAATACACGTTTCTTTAATGAAATATTTTGCATAAATAAATAAACCGAATCAAAATATCCAACAATTGTCCAAGAATAAGTGGGTAGGAGACATTTCCCAAGAATTAGTGAACAGGGTAAAATCTTTGCATCTTGTCAAAAAAAATGTTACATACATTTATCAAAATCATCTAAAATTTTTAAAAACAATTAACATTTTTTAAAAAAAACCCCTAGGGAACTTAATGCTGACATTAAAAATTTCCAATGTTTTGAAGCACTCGTCAATCATTCACGAAAGGTCAAACCTCAGAACTCCTTCCCCTTAGCTATAAAATCCAACCGAATATACCAACTTCCATTCGAGAGTAGCCAAGATCTCACTTCCCTCCGAGAGAGACCCCATTTTGCCGAGTGGAATATAAACACCGATAAATCCCGAGGTCCCGTTAAAAATTGATACACTGGCTCCGGAAGTGTTTGGGGTTCCAGAATTGTGGTGGAAGCTCTTGCCATTGCGCGAGAGTGAGATGGAAAGAAATGTTAGAGTGAGGGTGAGGTTGAAAATTCCAGTGAATAGTAAACCGGAAACACATATCGATAAGTATCGGTTGTGTATTGGAATTCGTGTTGCCCGTGTATTCCGCGAGTGCTTAGGGGGATGGGAAGGGGAGTGAAATAATGGAGGCGGATGTCACAGTCGTAACATTGGCAAACCAAAAAAGGGTTCTCTCAAAGGAGAAAGGGTTGGGAAGGAATGGAAGCATTGCGAAAATAAGGGGTGGTTGTGTATATACACTATGCAGCTCATGTTTAGCGCCTTTATAAATGTGTAATGCGTGTAGGTCGCCACTCGCCGCCATCGTGGTCTGCGTATCGATAAACGATCAATCAGTCGGTGCACCTGCAACAGTCGAGGGGTGGTTTTGGGGGTAGGAGAGTTGTTGTGGGGTGATGGAGGATTGGCTGCAATTGCGGTGAAGATGGCATGTGAAAGGAAGGGGTTTATATAGAGGAAGAGAGACAGTGACCTGGGATTGGAGAGGGGGGAACCCCGCAGTGTATCGACCAGACGTGGAAGAAGCCGCCAGGGTCGCCCCGTCCCCGGGTTTTGTTACTATAGGTATGTCCTACACTCTTCAAGACGGCATACGCGTATACATGTGCAGTCGAGTTTCCAAAGACGCCGCGTTCAGCCATCTTTGATTTTCCCGCATCAAATTTGGTATATGCACTTTATTTTTAAATTCTTATTCTAAAAAACCGTTTTTCAAATATTAATACCTACAATCGAAAAGATTTCTATAACTTCTCTGATAAAAAATACATTTTGTCCCTTTTTATCAATTAACTAAAAAGGCATTAGGAGTTACCGTAACCCATCCCTGCCTTCCCCCTCTTCTCACCATACACAACTGATAAAATCATCTTTATTAAATTAAAAACAAGAAATTAAATTTTCTAGAAACAATTAAGATGCAAGGGCCCTGATAACATTATCAAAAGAGAGAGGGCGAATAAAAAGTCACACAACAAAGTGAGTTTTATTGTAGCGGCCATTTTATAGTTGCATACAATCAGCGCAAAAGAATTAAATGACCGTTTACGAGCCCAAGCAACCGGTTCCTTTTAGCCATCATCGCTGGACCACCGGATGTAGGAATCTCTTCTTCAAAGAATAGGGGGGGCAAAAAAAAAAAAAAAAAACTTGAACAAAAAAATAAAAATTTGTTGGACCATTATGATTGTAACTGTAAGAGACATTTTTCATTAGTTAACGAGATGATGGTGTGTTAAAAAAAAGTAAATAGAACCAATTAAAATATGGATCGTATTATATGAATCCATAAAATATGATTTTATTTCATGACCTGCTATTCGTTTTGCTTTATAATAAACACAGCTGTTGAATATGTGCAAGCCTAAAATACGGGTGCTAAATTTTGCCATACAATTTATGAAGTTTTATCACCTGTCGATAATTAATACTGTGAATTATGATATTCGAGATTAAATTGCTTTCTGAGTAACGGGGTTGGTGTGAAAGATATTCAGGTTTATTAAAAAGAATGAAAAACGCGTTTGAGATTTTAATTTTAAATGGGGATTTTAATTTTAATAATTAATAATTGAGAAATGAAAATTAAATCCAGGAAGTTGTCATTTTATTTTCTATATTTAGTCCGCTATTTATAAGCGTTTGGAAAAGTATATTCAAAATTTTGCTTTTCTGCCCTTATCTTTGAGATAAATTAAAAATTTTTTAAATACTCTTCACTTGCTTCGTTCCGAAGTGCTTCTCTGTTAATAATAAAATAGCGCAGGAAAGGAAATTGTTTGGGGTTCTTCTTGCAACTCATCATTGCATTTGATTATCTTCAAACTTTTAACCCTTTCAAACCTTACATATTTTAAATTTCAAGCCTTTTACTTTCTGAATTGTTAGACATTTTTGCAGAGAAAAAAACCCTTTTTGCAAAAACTTTTTGTTTTTAAAAAGTATTTTTGTAAATGAAATTCATTTTCCCGAAAAAGGAGATCAAGGAGAAAGTTTGGTCAACTAATTAAATTAATTCCTCTATACCAATTTTTCATATATTATTCTTAAAAAATAGTCCAAAACAAACCAGTAATATTCACATGGGAGAACATTTTTTTTTGCCTATAATTCATATTTAAAGATTTTGCATACACAAAACAAAAATAAGGAAAATAAATAAAAATGTTTTTCCTGATCAAAAAAAAAAAAAAAAAAAAATGGTCCCTAATGTGAATAAGAAAACGGTTGGAAAAACTTTTCTCTTGAGATGAAAGGCCGATTCATTTCTCGTGGTGCTTAATCCACGGAGATGGTTTCTGATTTTCGAGCAGCTTTTCAGGAAAACTCGAGGGCATAAAAGGAAACGACAGAATGGAGTCAAGAGACGCGAAAATTCATAAACTTTAGAAACGTGTTCACCCGCCCCCCCCCCCTTCTACTTCCCTACCCCTTTTTCTAAAAGAGACGGAAGTTATATACATTAACGCGAAATGAAAACGAGCAAATACCATCAGCTTTGAGGAAGAGAGAGAGAGTGAGAGAGAGAGAAAGAGAGAACTATGACTTGCAACAGTCGTGTGACGCATCCATTCAAAACAAACAATTTCACTTTATAAATGATGCTCATAGCTGAAAATGAATTTTGTTCTTTGACTCATTATTATCAGCGTTCGAGTTGAAGTCGTTTATCTTAACAATTTATTACTTAAATGGTAAGAAACACTACCAGCATGCGTTGGATATTTGAATTTTTGTTGTTTTTTCCGGTTAAAAGGGTTTAGAATCGAATTCCTAATTTTTTGAAGTTGGATTTTTAATTTTGAGCGTTAACGCGTGATTTGTTCTGGTAAATTTATTTTTCTAACGATACAGGTGTAAAAGCACCTTAAAGATCAAAGTTAAAAAGGGGAATCCCAGGGAATCCCTAGAGTAAGAGTTTAGAACTATAAGGCCGACTTTACAATTTTTAAAAGGTGAGCATAGAAATACTCTTTTATTTTGTATATAAATTTGCTTATTTTCAATTTTCTCCTTTATTTATATGCACTATTCTCCGGTATTCTCACTATGAACGTAGGCTTTCATCTTCTTCCGACAAACAATTATTTTACAATTTCTAACTTGGGATATGAAATACAATTCAGCTTTTGGGTTTATTTTCTTTTTAAAAATATCATTATGAAACACTTCCAATAAATATTCTAGTATTTATTCACGTGCCTCAATTTTTGAGAAATGAATTATAAGATAAAAATGTTGGAAAAATAACATGATTTAGAATCAAAAATAAAAAAAAAACCGTCGTATTATTTTTTCGTTTTTAAAAAACGATGCGGACTTCAGCCTCATACTTTCTGTTTACTTTTGATTATAAAACCTTTTACAAAAACAAGTTTTATAGTTTTTCCAAGTTTCTAGAGTTTTTCTAAGGATATCAAATTGAGACATATGCATCAAAACGTTGCTACGTTTTGATGCATTTTTTGTCTCAATTTGATATCCTTAGAAAGACTGTGATTAGAATCGCATCTGATTTTAATTCTTAAAATTGACTCAATGTGGTTTTAAGTTTAAAAATAATTTCAATAATTTAAGCTATAAAGATATAATAGGATGAATAGAATATGAATGGTTTGAGACTCTTTCCATGAAGTTTGAGGCTTTGAAACTGTAATTGATACTTTGACCCATTTTTGCGGAAATAATTGACGTACCTCTCAGTGAGGACAATGATATTAAGAATAATGGAGGCTGTTGGAGAAGAGAATCAGGAGAAGAAGAAGAAGAAGAAGTTTTGCGGAATTTTTGCAAAAGGAGATTCAAGTGCACCTGCGCCATGTCTCGGCAAGTGCAGGCAGTTGTAAAAGCAAATCGAGCGACGAATACAATATCCGTTGGTTTGCACGCTACACTGAAAATTGCCACGCGTGACAGCGTGCATGCATTCTCAAGATGCTGAGTGCGAGGTTTATATATGTACACAGTTACATCTTGTGTGAAAAGAAGAAGAAGAAGAAGAAGTTCCAACTCAAGAGAGAAAGAGAGACTTGAGTGCGAGTATATACTCCTTTCTGCAAATAAGCCCTTATTTTTACCATTGTATCCAGAGAGAGAGAGAGAGAGAAAAAGAGA